GGCGCTTTTCGTTCGAGTAGCTGGTGTTGGATGGGCTGGTGGGGATGCGCGAAGCGTCAACAATTCCTCACAATTGACTTGCAGACGAAACTACCGCCTGAGACTTCCTCTATATTCAGGCTAAAAAATTCCAAACGTGATGACTGTGACAGGGTTCCGATGGGGGCTCCCGCCTGAGACTTCCTCGCACTTCACTCACAGACGAAGCTCCCGTTCGAGACTTTCTCCATATTCAGGCCAGAAAATTCAAATAGCGACGACAGTAACAGGATTCCGATGACCCGCTCGGATTACCAACGTGAAGTGCGGACCCCATAGGGAGGGGGCTCCCGCCCGAGACTTCCTCGTACTTCATTCACAGACGAAGCTCCAGCCTGAGACTTGGTATTCAATCGAAAGGAGCCGGACAAATGACGACAGCTACACAGTGCCAATGACTAGCTCGGATTACCAACATGACATGCGAACCCCATATGGAGGGGGCTCCCGCCCGAGACGTCCTCGCACTTCACTCACAGACGAAGCTCCAGCCTGGGACTTCCTTGGTATTCAATCGAGAGGAGCCGAACAAATGACGACAGTTACACGGTGCCGATGACTAGCTCGGATTACCAACATGACATGCGAACCCCATACGGAGGGGGCTCCCGCCTGAGAACTCCTCACAATTCACTTACAGACGAAGCTCCCGCTTGAGACTTCCTCCATACCCAAGCCAGAAAACTCCAAACGTGACGGCAGTGACAGGATTCCGATGACCCGCTCGGATTGCCACCATGAAATGCGGTCCCCATTGGGAGGGGGCTCCCGCTCAAGACGTCCTCGCGATTCACTCACATAGGTGGTCCTTTTTGGTCGATGATCGTGATGGGGTGGTGATAGTGATGACAATGGTGGTGTGCGCGGGTGATGATGACGACGATAATGCTGATGCGCGATGATTATGATGGGATCAAAACGTGACGATGCATGATTGATGGGGGAACATGAATGAGAGAGAGAGAGAGAGAGAAAGTGGATGATGATGAGTGAGGACGTAGTGGAATGACAGATGATGATGATGATTGTTAAGATTGTGATGAGGATGATGATGACGATGATGCTGCTTATGATGACGATGGTAATGACGACGATGGTGATGACGATGATGATGGTGTGTGAGTGTGTGAGGAGGAGGGGGGAATGATGAGGAGGAGGAGGAGGAGGAGGAGGAGGAGGAGGACTGCGCGGGGTGTCCAGAGAAAACAAGAACCCCACTTAGGATGTGGGGAGAATCAATGATTATTCTGCATGTTTGACGGATGTTGGCGTTCTCGCGTTTTCGGCTTCTAGAAACTCCCAGAGGGCCCAAGATGCGCCCAAGATCGCCCCCAAGACTGCCGAAGAGGCCTCC